TCCTGGAAGCGTGTGTACCGCAAGGGGAGAGGCCACAACAGTGAGAGGCCCACATACCCAAAAAAAAAAAAAAAAAGTACAATACTGCAAACTACAGAGTCACTTTGAGTGACACTGAGCAAATCAATTTAGTTACATGAAGTAGAAGGGCTACATTACTAACAAAGAATAAAAACTATCTTAATCAGAAGGAATAATGAGGAAGCCAATGAAACATGTACTGATTATTATATCTAAGAGTCTTCCTGGTAAAATAGGCAGAATTATAAACAGCCAAAAGTTAAACACAGCTTTGTATTTTTTTCCTAACTTTATAATATATACTACAATTCTCAGTATAAAGTGAATATTAAGTAATAAGAGACTATAAATTCTCGTTTCACTAGAATTCCACTTTAGAGTACTATCCTCCTCCCTTCTGTTTCTTCTTCATCCCCTACCACACATGAATGAGAATTCCCTCTTTGATTTGGATAACTTGTTAATTATTTTAAGATAATTTAAAGGAAAATACCACAAAGTAGAAGGGAATAAAACATTGTAATTGAATTGAGATTGTATTTTATTTCACGTAGACTGAATAGGAATGTCATGAGATCCTCCCAAGTTTTTATGAACAGGCAAAGGACAGAAGCCCCCACTAAATAAAATTTAAAGGGACAGTGAGAGTCAAAAACAAAGTTATTTTTGGTTACCGTCTCATACATCACACTGTTCAACATATGATCTAAACACTTATGCTATTCGGTTGCTAATGACTTCAATAATGCCTAAAATCAGGAATAATTTTATACACATGCAAATAAGAACATTCTTGCAACTTTACCTAAAGGAAGTAAATTAACAAGTCTCTAGGTGGCAAAAAAGGGTACTTTATCCAGAGCTTATTATCTGAAACACACCAACACTGCATTATAACACTGACTAACACACGTTTATTTGGTTGAAACACACTAACTTAACTGGGATTTTCCAATTTTCCTCCTTCGCACAGAATGTACTGAAATAGCAGAATCTCTAAAATTAGTTTTAAGTCATTGACTATAAGGAAAAACTTTTTCTAGCAGGTTCAATATACTCAGGAATCACAGAAGGTTAAATTATGTTCAATAAACCAAAAACAAAGAGGTCATTGTTAGCCTATAAAACAAAAATACTACTCAGTTGTAAGCTTCAATCAGGCAAACAGTGGTATGAAATGCCTCATTACTAGTGATTTAGAGGTTAAGAAAAAAGTGAGGTCACTATAAACCACTCAAACAACTATTGTTAGCTCACTGATTTTTAGGGCAAACGGCAAGATTTACACCTAGGAAAACTGGAAATTTTCTCCCCTTAGATGAAACAACTCCATTCTGTTGACCTCTGTCCTATGAACATGAGGTATATGTCCGGGGTGGGGGGGGGGGGGGGGGGGGGGGAGGGTCCACTGTGCTTGAAAAAGAAACAAAAAATAACACTACACTGTTTTCCCTGGATGCAATTTAAAATGACCAGGCACACTGATTTTTAGATGAATTATACTTTTTATAGGCCTACATACAACATTCTCAAACAACATCAACTGGATGAATAACCACCATTAAATTATAATTATGAAGACCAGGTAATATATTAAAATTACCATATTAATTGTAAGTAAAAATATCATGATACTAAACTATAATTACATGATATTAAAACTTTCTATAACCACAAGACTATATAAAGATGATGGGAGCATTTCAGTGTAGCAACATTAAGTGTAATTTTACTGTTTTCTATGCTTTCAATAATGCTGAGTTATTGTTTTGGTTTTATTTTTTTAATTTTAAAGCTACCAAAAAGGGCTTCATTCTGTGTACACAGAAGCACATTCTCCTTCCTGTTGGGTATCACCTTTTGCAGATACAGTAAATTTAAATTTTTCTAAGCAATAAGTTTCTTAAAAATTTCAGTGTTCTAAGTTAGAGATCACAGGTTCTAGAGTCAGAAGTGTTCCACACAGAACAGTTGTTCAACACATAGCAAAAATGGTGATAACTTACTTTGGGTTGCTTAATTAAGTCAAGCAAATCCTTTACTTGATGTCGGAGCAGATTTTGACATTTCCACATTTCATTCAGTGCTCTGAAAAACACATACATAAATTTAAATAACAAAACAGGATAAACATCCTTCCAGAATATCCCAACCATGTTAATTTTTTCTAAAAGTTCAAATTACAAATGGAGATGACAGAGAAGGGTAAAATTTACAGGACTAAGCAACTGATGATAATGAAGAGAAAGAGAGAAGTCAAATATAAGAGATAATAACATTTGAGGAGATGGCTATATCAAAAGAAAGGGATTAGTGGTGGTTGCTTTTGCTTTGGTATAAAAATAGTGAAAATCTATCATTAACTGGAACATGTTTGTAGGCAAGGGCATAGCAATGAACTGCAGAGATTACAAACTTAAGAAATAAAGCAATATTTAATGGAGTAAGGTCTTGTATTCAATAGCAGGCCGGATGAAAAGGAATAAAAGACACAAACGGAAAAGACTGAGCCCTGAGAGAATGGAGATACTCTTTCCTGAAACAAAAATATTATAATTTTACATAATATATATTATATACTTTTATTTATAAGTAATATTTATAAATTACATTATATGTATATAAGTGAACATTCATTTTATATGGCAAAAATTTTGATCACCGTAACACTTTTATTGTTCTCAGGCAGAAATTTAAATCTAAAAAAAATTATATAGGTACTCAAGAAAATATACATAAATCACAGCAGTTAATATTATTTAAATATTAAGTTATAGAATATCAGAACCACTCACATTTAAAATTTTAAAAAGGAAAATTTCCAAAACCAAATAATACTTCTCATTGTTTTCAATTATCTACACTTCTATTAACCTCCACTATCACACATATGAAGCAATGCCATAAGAGTAATTTAATATAGAAGCATATAAAACCATATAAAAACACACTTTTTTTTTTGATAGAGAAGGCAATTGTTTAATATTTTCACCCTCCTCAGCAGTATGTTTTAAAAATACCTTTGCATTTTTTAAAGGAGACAAGTTAGCTTAAATTTGGACAATTCCTTTACAGTAGTCCCTTCAACATGGTACTGGCAAAACAACAGTACTGGGGCATTTTCATCTTGAAATAGCTAAACTTTACGGTCTTCCAGTTACTAAAGTTCCATAAAGTTTAACTGGCACAGTTTAAGAATGTAAACATTAAAACAAAAATGACCATTATCCAGAGGACTGTAAATAATTTTCAAAGAAACAGAGTAGTCATCTGTGAAATTACTTGTGAACTCCAAAGTCAATGAATTCTCTCCTTACCTATACATTTTATCACTACTTAAAACTTCTGAAGGCCCTGGATTTTGAAACTTGCTTTCACTTAAAGCAGAAAAATAAAGCAGAAATTATCTTATTTATTAACTTAAAGATGAAATCTTAAGCAATTCTAAAGCTTATTATAAACTATTATGGCTATAGCTTAAATCAAAAAGTGACCATCACTGACTAAGAATTTGTATGATAACATTCAGGGGGAGCATCCTCTTGAGCATTTCAATTAAATTATATTAAGCAGCAAAGACAATTTGTCCTTGTGCTTTGCCTTTCTAAACAGTACTTAAGGAAAAAAAGTTGTACTAGTAGAAGCAGTATTACTAGAATAGGAAGACAAACATCCATTTATTTAATATTAGCCTGAATTCCAGCTCTGTCACTAAATAAACATGAAAAATCTGGATAGAGCCTGGATACTCTTCCATTTGTTAAGTGACATTTTAAGTAGACAACTAGTTCCCTCACTATGGCTTCTCCTTGCTTGCAACAACATACCACAGGTTTGCGTCAGTTCAAAGAAAAGGACGACTGCCACTGGGCTGCAGTCAGAAACCTGTCCAAACGTTGAAGAGAAACTCTCCTCCAACCTTCTACTCCCAATTGGCAAATTACCCATCAGACTCCACAGTTCAAAGCTGTCTAGATGAGAGCCTGATCAATGAAAAAGAAGATCACAACCAGGACACCTGATACTACCACTTACTCTTGTCACTGACAGTTGTTCTGGGGAACTTGCGGGAGGTGGAAATACACACCATGATCAGACAGTACCCAAGCTTGCCTCTATTCTCCTTTCCAGTAATCAGTATACTTATAGTTAACCTAGGGACTTACCCAGAAGTGGGTACACATCAATAAGTCTAAAATATAGGAAGCATTTTGTCTTCCCCAAAAGAACACAGATATAGAATAAAATATATGGCTCTTTCAGTAAATAAGAAAAATCCTTACCAAACAAGTTCTTAGCAGGAACCCGCCCGCCAAGCAGCTATTTTTCTTTTTTTTTTTTGGCTGTATGCGGGCCTCTCACCGTTGTGGCCTCTCCCCGTCGCGGAGCACAGGCTCCGGACGCGCAGGCTCAGCGGCCATGGCTCACGGGCCCAGCCGCTCTGCAGCATGTGGGATCTTCCCGGACCGGGGCATGAACCCGTCTCCCCTGCATCGGCAGGCGGACTCTCAACCACTGCGCCACCAGGGAAGCCCCCTAAGCAGCTATTTTAAAATACTTTTCAAACTAACTAGAGGTCACAAAAATTCAAATGACTTTCTGGGCTAGAATGGTAATGTAAATGAATGAAGTAGGACAGGTGTTATAATACAGAGTAGTATATACAGTGGACTGTGGTGAAATTAGAAACATTAAGTAAAACATCAGTATTATTAGTATTCAGGCCAATGAAAAAAATGAGAAAAAATTTGATACCCAAAAGACTGGCAAAAAATAAGATGCCTGATAATGTTTTGGAGTAAGAGTATAAATTAGTATAATCATATTGGGAAATAATTTGACTAGTTTATAATGCTGAAAACGTGCATTCTCAGCAATTCCAGTCATAGCTGTATACCAGTGATCCTAAACCCTGGTTGCCCACTACAATCTCCAGAAACACTTTCCTAAAAACCCCAATGCCCACACTACACTCCAGACAAATTAAATGACAATCTCTGAGGATGAGATTCATGTGTCAGTATTTTTTAAACCTCTCCACGTGATTCCAATGTGCAGCCAAATTTGAGAACCATTCATAACCATACGTTAGAGAAACCCTTGCATGTGTATACTAAATTGAAAAATGTTCACAGTAGTACTATTTGTATTATTAAAAAAATGGAAACACACAAATGTCCATTCTTTGCACTGACTCAGATTTGCAATGCCAAGATGATGGAATAAAACTGTGGTTTAATGACAAAGTAATTCAGTACCACAGTGAAAATGAACGACCCACAAGCTATATATATAGAGTAGATGAAGCTTAGGAACATAATAGAGTGGCGTGAAAAAACAAGTCACAGAAGACTATAACCCCAATTATTCCGTTTTCATAAAGTTCAAAAACAAGCAAAAATTAAAAATATATTATTAAGGGATACATAAATACATATGATAAAACTTTTATAAAAGGAAATGAGAAACACAAAATTAAAGCTAGTGGTTTCCTCTGGGAGGGAGATAGGAGGATGAAAGAGAGAAGTGTTCACAAGTTGGGTGGTAGATTCATACATAGTTTTATTTTATTACTGTGCTTCAAAACTCATGATTTGTGTGCATTAAATACTTCATGATAATAAGTGTAAAGACTTTTGGAGAAAATAATCACAGATAAATGTAAAGTTAAAGTGTTAAGTAATAAAATGTTAAGAAGCATTAGGTGTATAGTTGGTCACTTAATTCCAAGAAGTTGATTAAAATAAAAAATAATTTTAAAAACATTATCTCTCTCTCTCTCTCAAGTATTTTAACTTAAAAGAGATAAATACTCATTCACTCACCAACCATTTCTGTAGAATCAACTGATCCACAGATTGGAAATTACTTTCAACTTTTCCATGACATTATCTTCCAGTATATCTCCTATGTCACCATTTTTTCTTTTTAATTCAATCACATGGACTTGTCATTTAAGTGATGAATGATATCTGATAAAAATATTTAGTTTTGAAACTGCTATTTATGTTTTGTGTATTCTATTTTCAATTATTTTTTATTTTCTTTTCCACTTCTGGTATTAAAGTTTTCATTAATTTTTTGCTCCTATGGGTTTAGAAGTTATACATTCGAATTCCATTTTTTTAGGGGTGACTCAAAGTTTTAATATGCACACTTGATTCATGGTCTAATTAACCAACATGTCTGTCCTCACTCTTATATGACAAAAGAACATTAGAACACTTTACCTGCCATCTTAACATGTTGTTATCTGACAGGGTCCACCCTGGCATGGGGCGGGGTATCCCAGGGACTCTCAAGAGAGTTCACATATCATTGCAGTGGTGTACACTGGCACAATATCAGCCTAGATGATAACCTACTTTTTAATCCAGACCCCAACCCCTTGTAAAGAAAACTTTATCCTATTCCTTCCTTCTGGATTCAATTTCCTTTTTTATTCTTTAGTAATTTTTTCAAGTAGGATTTATGAGTGGTGAACTCTCATTTTTTGCTTGCAAGTGTCTTTAATTCATTTTTACTCCTGAACGACAGTTGAACTGAGTCAAGGCATCCAGATTGGGTGTGATTTAAATAGGTTGTTTCAAATGGGATATATACATATCCTATCTCATCCATTCTAAGAGGCCATCAACTGCACCATGAAGAAAAGGATGCATTACAGTTCTACAGATGCTAGCATATGAAATTTTTATGTTTTACAATTAATTATAGAGGTAACATATTTTACTATACGCAGTGGAAAAAGAATGAGCTTTGGAACCAGGAAGAACTGAGTTCAAATTCTGGCTTTGGGGCTTCCCTGGTGGCGCAGTGGTTGAGAGTCCGCCTGCCGATGCAGGGGTCATGGGTTCGTGCCCTCAGTCCGGGAAGATCCCACATGCTGCGGAGCGGCTGGGCCCGTGAGCCATGGCCGCTGAGTCTGCGAGTCCAGAGCCTGTGCTCCGCAACGGGAGAGGCCACAGCAGTGAGAGGCCCACGTATCACAAAAAAAAAAAAAAATTCTGGCTTTGTCTCTTATTACTTGTGTAATTTTGTGCAAGTTCATTTCTCTGTGGGATTCAGCTCATCATGTGTAAATCAGAAAAAAAAATCATTTATACTGGGAGTTTACAAGCTTTTTCTATAAAAGGCCAGAAAGTAAATATTATAAGCTTTGTGGGTCATAAGGTCCCTGTTGAAACTACTCAACTCTGCCAATTGTAGCAGAAAAGCAGCCACAGTTAACACATATTCCTGTGCCTGAAGTACAGTGGGTATCAAGAAATGTACATTTCTCCCCCTACAACCCTTTTTCTCAACATTCCTATGAAAGATATAAATAGCATACATAATAATTTCCATGTGGGAAGTGCAGTTAAAAGTCCCATTAAGCTGTGGTAGGAATGAAAATTATATACAGCTCCGTAGACTTCTAATTTCTGAATATTTAATCCCCAGTAGCTGGGGATTAAGTTACACATTCACTGGAATACTGATGATCTAAACTTTCTGAAACCTAGAGCATATCCATCTCTAGGCCTCAATTTCCTAAGCCTCAATACGATTCAATAGCAATGCCTATCCCATGTCCAAAATGCCAATTCCCTAAAAAGCCATACAAAAGCACTTTTTGAATGAAACATGGTCATAAAAATGTATTTGTGCTTACCTTTATATCAAACTATAACACCATGTTGAGGCTATGCAGCACAAAAATATGTATCCTACTGCCCTACACTATAATTCAAATCAGTATCAGGTGAAAATAAGAAAGTACTAATTTCACAATATGGACCTTTCTAATGCCTTAAGGAAACAAACAAAAAGAAAAGGTACATCAGCATTTCTTGAGACAACAACATGAAAATCTGGAGAGAGAAAAACTAAATCCTAAAAGATTCCATGTCAATCAGCTCTGCTTTTTAATTAGTTACAAAAATCCTTGTTAATCTCATGTTAATAGCAGTACTTTCTGAAAAAATATCCTATCCAAGTATTTTATTGTGTCTGACCATTTAAACAATGTTTGCATTACATAAATTGTTGACATTTAAAAATACAGTTGTTTTCTTTTCCATAAAGTCCAACATACTGCAAAAGATGGAAAGAACAGAGTTTAACATTTGAAACATACTTCACAGCATTTAAATCCAGTGTGGCATACAAATAATATAAGCATTTCATCCGTTCCGTAGTTTCCAAATTGTGGGGGACCATGTATTGAGCAAAGATCCGTTCAACAAGCAATCTACGAAAAAACATAAAGTACTGTATTAATTTCTTTAAATGTAGGTATTATATGTATGTAAATTTCCAAAACACATAAAGAACACATATAAAAGAGCTTCTTCTTTCTGAGTAGAGATGAGATTTCCAAGTCAAAGATTTCTTTCTATAAGAAGAGCCAAAGAAAAAGTTTTAGCTGGATGTACTGGAAACAGTCCTACACCTAAGATTAACTATTTCTGCATGACCTTGGGCAAGTTATATACCAGGGACTCAATTTCATTGGCTAAATAATAAAGGGTTAAAAAACTACACCAGAACCTTCCAAGTGACAAATTCTAAACATCTATAAGTTAACCATAAAGAAATGTTTAAGATTGTTGACTTTTTGTAGTGATCATCATGAAAAGAGACCTAGATAAAAGTAAAAAAAAGAAAAAAGGGAGAGAAAAAAAAGAAAAATTAAATGGTGAGGGGTGGGCTATGAAACTATAACGCAAATCTCTGTGCACTGATGCCACACACTCAAAAAGCTTAAAAACGTCAATTTTCTAAAAATAATAACTATAAAGTCTCTTAGATGATATCAACCTAAGATACTGTTTCCTACTTCCCATACCTCTTAAAATTGTAAGATGTCCTACTGGTTCTTAATTTTCTCATTCTCACCTGTTAATAAGCAAGATCATTTGGACCCCACTAAAAATTTATCAAATCAATGCAGACTGCAAGCAGAATTTACAGTTCTACTAACTACTAAATCGCTAAGTTCCATATAAGATCTAACCTTACACACTGGAATAGAAAAATACAAAGATAATATTCAGATAATGTGTTTTTATATAAATTTATAAACTAGTTTTTTTAGTCTTGAGTAGGAATTGTTTTTATTTAAAATGTCTAAATCCAAAGGGTGTATGTTTATTTTAATTTTATTTGAGAAAATGAATGTGAATCCTTAAAACACAATTATCTATGAAACAAAATTTAAATCATAATTACACACTCCTTTCAAATATTACTCTGTTAAAACATAGTATACGAAAATGACCATAAAAGACGTATCCATCCCTAAAGTTATATGTACATTACTACTTCATTTATGGCTTTGGTGGGAAAGCAACTAGTCACTCACTACCTTTAATTTGCAGTAAAAACTGAGGAGGGAGTTTAAAGTTATAAAGAAAATAGTTAGCCTAAAACAACAGCTCAACAACAGTTATATAATACCAAAAGCACTCAACATTTTACATGTGGTGTCTTTAACTTACCTATCATCAATACTATTTTGATAATATATATGTAGCAATTTGTCTTTGATCCATGAAATCTGTTTTGCAGCATCCTTCCCAGCTGCTGATTGTAAAGCATATTTCTTATAGATCTGGGCAAGTCCCATCATGGCTTCTTTGCGCACTCTCCACTTAAAAAAAACAAACAAAAATTTTTCTCGTAATTTAAAAATGCCTCCATTATATTAATTCAGTAAAGTCTAGTTTCCCAGTTATTTTATTTACTTTACACAATTTATTTTCATCATACCTCAGTTCCTGGATGTCAATCTGTAATGACTGTATGAAAAAACACAACTATCATTTTAATATATCTACTATGTCAAGCACAGACATCTATTAACGTACATAAAGAATTTTAATGCTTTGATATCTTATACCCATTACCAGTCCCTAAAAAACAAAACTCAATCACAATCTACTTAATGTCACGTAGAATGAGTGAGGGAAAGCATGCTACCAAATTGTAAAAGGCAAAGACAGTTAAGTGGATAAACTGTGAGCTATTCCTTACAGAGTTTTTTCCAAATTATGGTCTATATTAAGCATACCTGTATTAAAGGTATACATGACAATGGCTTTATCAGATGCTGAATGCAAAGACACATCAGTGGTTCATTTGTATATCTGGCAAAGACGTTCAGGTATAAAGGTATTCAAGTATTTTCTAAAATAAATACATATCTGTTATAGTATACCTAACATTAATTATCTTGGTATGAGTTTAATCTTAAATTTTACATAAACACAGCACTATAATCAGTAGGATGTAAGTAATATTAAGAACTTCATGAATCTGCGAAGATTATTAATTTTTCCTTTGCAGTCTGTCACTCACAGCAACGTTTTTCTCTTGGTTTCTCTTTCAATTAATTACAGTAAATAATAGTCCTTATTTCATCCATCCACTGCATACATATTGAAGTAAAAGACTTCAAAAGCTTTACTCATAAAATAAGAATTCAATATGTCTGTAAAAACTTTATTCCAATTCCCTATCTTATCTCTAATTCCCAAAAGTGCTACTTTAGGGAAAATTTAAAGATATAGAGCATATTCTAATACTGCCAGTAACATAAATATATTTAATTATTTTTTGGTACTCAATTAATATTTATATGAATGAACCAAGCAGTCCTATGATGAACACAATATGATGATCAAAAACATACATGAATTATGATCCCAATAATACACAAATACTTAGCTTAAATTCTAAGTGTAACTATGAAAAAGTTTACTTGAACACTTAGAAGGCTGTTATCCTACCATGATGCAAACCTCCTTTTCCTTCTTTATAGCTTTTGGCCTTTTCATTGTTTAATACCCTACTGAAATATTCAATAACAACAAGTCTAAATTTATCAACTAAAATAAGTTGCTCTGAATACCTATAGATTTGGAGGGAAAACCATGCAATTCCTGTCCATGTACTCTCTATCCACAACCCACATGATCAAAGAGAGAATTAAATGATGGAGATAGCACAATCGACCATACAAGTGACTTTCAAAATGTTGTGAAGTTTTTACTTAGTTAGAGCTATTCATATCTACCAAGTGGCCTCCCACTTTCTTTGCTTATTAACCCCTAAATACACCAAAGATTTTCATCCTTCACCAAAATTACTCTTAAGTCTAAGCCTGTAAAATCCATGCCATCAAGGAAAGGCAAACGGGAGGAGGTGAGAATAAATATTCACTGAAACACTTACTGAGTGCCTAATACATTCTAGGCAACATGGAATACAAATGTAAGACACAGTGCCCTCTTCAGAAGCCACTAACTAAAGAGTGGAGCGGTTC